TCTGCCAGTTCAGAGGGAACATCCTATTATATTTTTGTACAGTATTTATCAACAGCGCAGCGAATGTAACTGTACTGTGGGAAAAGTCACACCAAGCACATACCAAAGCAGCTTCTTCCAGGAAATGTGACTGACTTAAAGCCTAAGACAGTCCAGCGTCTGTAAATGATTAAAATCCATCACTAACTTGCCCTGCACGTGTGATTTTTATTAATTAACCCTTTATTTTCACACTTCACAGCAGAAATCCTGTGTCACGTGCAGCAGACACTTGCTGATCCAGTCAAATAAATTAGAATCAGCTGAATACACAGAAGAGCCCGTAGAAAGTCACCAGCAGTGTGTGCTGATTAAGACTTTCTGCAGAACGGGGTACGGTGGCCCTCAGAGGCCAAGCGGACTGCAACATAAGAAAACACCAGCAATAAGAAAAACACTGCAAAAGCACACAAAACACAACGGAAATAGGAAAAAACAGTTTTCCACAAGCACAAGGGAAGTGTTTCTGGGGAGACAATAACCTGACGGACCAGTTGCAGAAACCAAAATATGCTAAGAATTGCGCTGGGAAACACTTCAAAGAAGTGGAGGATCTATCGGTTTTGTGAGGAAAGAAAAGATGAAAGGTAAGTGTGTTAGCCCAACTATTAGGCTAAAAGTCCGTCATCAGTATTATATGAATCATGATAAAACACACCTAGCATGTTTTGGGTTCCTGCAACTGGTCCGTCGGGTTATTGTCTCCCCAGAAACACTTCCCTTGTGCTTTTGGAAATCTTTTCCTATTTCTGTTTTCTTTTTGTCGTTGTCGTTTTTCTATTTCGATTGTGTTTTGTGTGCTTTTGCAGCGTTTTTCTTATTGCTGGTGTTGTCTTAAGTTTCTTAAGTTGCAGTCCGTTTGGCCTCTCGGGGCCACCGTAGGCAGTGCCTTTGTGTACATCGTACGAGACAAGTGGCTCCTTAGGCCTTACAGCGACCCTGAAGTCAAATTAATGCAATAAATCCATCCAGACTAGTGATGTCCCAACTCCTGTTAATCAACACTTTCCCTTCCAGAGTATTACTTTGGACTCACCAGTCACTTATGATCCACTAATCATCAACTACACCTTCATTCCTTCAAAAGAGGTTTACATATTTGCTCCGCAAGCAAAAAGCTGCTGGTTCGCATCCAGCCAGAGACCTAAATTATCTCAGGGTTACATCAGGAAGGGCATCTGGCTTAAAAATCTGCCAAAACAAAACATGCAGGGCTGCCTGCTCAGTTGACAAAAGATTAGCTGACAGTAGCACTCAGGTGCTGATGATCAAATGCTCTTTATTAACTGATCAGCAGGTGAGCACTTCTATAAAAGCAGAGGTTTTGCCAGTTTTCCTGGTAACCAGGTGCGTGGTAGACCGTGCACTCCTGTGCACTGCTCATGTTGAATGTTAAAGTTCATAACAGCACAATTAGAAAAAACAAACAAGTGTGTCTTGGTGATGTCATCACGTCCCAGAGAGGCAGCAGTGCTGAATAAAAATATATTTTAAATAACCCGGAAGGCACTAGATCTTACTAATATATTGCAAAGCCGTCCATTGGGCTGATCTAAACTGTGCCTATTTTTATAGATAACAGCTGTAGAAATGCTGCATTCCCCTGATTATAATGACAGATGGCACTTACACTGTGATGCTCAAAGCTCGCCAAAACATACATTTTATCAAATCATGACCCAGTCACTTAAAGAAATCCTCAAACCTTGATGAAAGTGTTTTGATGTAAGAGTGGACAACCTTTGAATTTTCTTTTTCACCAGCTGGGTCATGATTTCTGGAAATAAATGTTATTACCTTTGAGCACCACAAGGTAAGAGGCATTTACCTCCACTGTAATCAAAAGAAGGGGTTTATTTCTGCAGCTGAGTTCCAAAACTCAGGTAAATCTTACTAAAACAATCAAACAGAGGACAGGCCAGAGGAAAATAAGTAAGATTTTCCCTTTAATGTCCCCTTTTTTGCCCACTTCAGATGCCAAACATGGCAGAAAAATTACTTCAATGCATCTTTTTAAACAATAAAAAAAGAATCAAACTGCATTTCATTTAAACAAACACAGTAAAACAGAGTCTGCAAAGTATTATTTCTTTAATCTCCCTAAAATAGTAAAGAATCATATTCATTTGCCTTAAGTCTTCTTCATGTTTTTAACCTTTCTTGTACTACTCACACCTCAAAAAACCCTGAAACTGACGAAGATTGGAGATATTGATGTTTTTCAGAGTTAATCGTGACACAGTTTCCTACCATTCTGGCTCATTTCATTTCTTAGATATATAAATGATGCTTAATGGTGCAGCTCTAAGTTGTAATGCTTGTAGGACAGATTAGATTGTCTGTGAAGGCTCTCAGTCATCCAGGTCATCGTAGTCTAAAGAGCTTGGAAAGAAAAGCGTCTGGACTTCTTTAAGTTGTTTAAAGACGTTTCACCTCTCATCCGAGAAGCTTCTTCAGCTCTAAGGTCAAACGGCGGAGAGTCCCAGATTAGATTAGATTAGATTAGATTAGATTATGTAAGGAATTGCAGCTTCATAAAGCAAGATGACCTACGTTTCTGAGTGTGCTAGTAGTGTAAAAACACAACATCCTTCTATTTACCACCAACTTTATAAGATATTAAGTAATATTAGTAATCTACCCCAAAAAATTCCTCTGTGCTAAGGCTTAAAACTGCAGGGTGAATGACTATTTTCACCCACATTAAAGCCACATTTATCATGTAGGTCTTCCCCCACTAGAGGGAGCTCTGCGCAGTCGTGCAACATTCATTGATCACTAGAAAGAAGTTTATCCAGGAACCTCTGAAGCAACTCTCAAACCTTCAGCGGATACTCTCTCTC